GACGTTTAATTGTCATTTTAACAAGGTTTATTATATTAACAATGTACGAATTTAAATTTCCCGAGGTAAAGTTTGCAAATCAACTTTGTTAAACAAACGTTAACTTTGAAACAGATAATGAAACAGATCAAAATACTTTAGTATTGATTTGGCACAGTATGTCAAATTTTTCATTGTAGAATTTCAAAATATTATTCGTGAGCCAATTGTTCAATTTCAAAAATAAGCTAACCGTTGAAAAGCTAAATGACTAAGCTTTAAAGTGAATGTAAAAACAAGGCTTTGCTTTCGTAACTTACACTTCAGTCGAAGGCTTTGTTTTTTTATACAAGGTAATCTGTTGCTTACCTGGAATAGACCCATATCTGGCAATGTTCTGGAACCAACTTCAATCGAAACAAGAAATGGTTTGAAAGGGAAAAAATCGCGGTACGCCTTTCAATAGTAGGTTTTACCGCCTTTGTCCTGCAGCTGTGGCGATATATGTAAACCAACAAGTAGTGGAGCAATGCTGGTGGAAGAAAGCGGCCGAAATTGAAAACAAATTGATGTTCTTTATCCACTTCATCTTTCCATGTTTCACATGCTTTTTGCCATCGCCTTTCACACCGTTCATCCGATCTGTTCTTTAACATACATGGTATCATATACTCTGTTCCTGGATGCTCCCCTATTTCCTTTTCACTGCTGAGGGGATAAAGTATATTGAAGCACGACAACAGTTCGACAAGTATTTCAGTATTGACTTCTTTATTCTTCCAAACATATTCCAGAACATGACTGTCGATTCGACCTTCCGACTCAAGTTTGTGAAACTCGTCCGAGAACTGCCGTTGGAAATTGCGATCTTTCGGGACGTCATGAATGCTAGTCATGATATCGACTAAGTATTGGGGAGAGAGTATCACTAAGTCGTTTACCACCGACCCTTCCTGGACACCACACATACTGCCTATAAAAATACGGGGAAAACCATTTTTTAACAAATCGTTTACAACCTACAACTATAGATAGTACATGTCAATTACTTTGAATAGCAAAAACACGATACAAGTTATGTTCGCCAACAATAGACAATGCCTGTGGTTGATCTATGCCGTGACGACCAAAATCAAGGCGAGCATATTTTTATATACCGCACTGACACAAAAATAAGTTATTTTAGCACGTCTTGTGGACATTTCAAGCCATTTAAAGGGTATTGGCAACAAAAAATTTTATTGATTTTATTGCTTCATCTGAAATGACATGAAAAAATAAGCCGATTGGCCGTTTACTGCTCTATTCTATCTCATCTGGTTCCGAAGTTATACGCAAAAATGTGCAAAATACAAATTGCTGATTCAGCACATTCTGTGACGTCATAAGCTGGGTAAGTATGTTTATTGAATAGTAAACTAAAGCATAGCTGAGTTATTATTGGCTCAAATCAAATGAAATTTTGCATACAGATAGTACATGATGAGATGCATGGGAAAATACTTCTAATTTCGTTGTCAAGGCAACACAGTCGTTCCCAGGCCTGTTACACTGATTTTGAAAAACTAAGTTGCATTTATCTATGTGTATGTCATTTTCGAATTATTATCATGCAAGTAAACTTTTGGCATGTATAGGTATCATACACATACTTCTGATATTATTTTATTCTTATCTGTACCTTGAATAAAGCTGATTCATAAAATTGGCGCAAGGGGCCTGGAAACGACATTGTTACCTTGGCAACATAATTAGAAGTGTTTTTCCATGCGTCTTATTATGTACAATCAGTATGCAAAATTTCATTTGATTTGGGCCCATAATAACTGAGCTATGCTTCAGTGTAATATTCAATAAACATACTTACCCAGCTAATGACGTCACACGTTGTGCTGAATCAGCAGTTTATATTTTCACATTTTTGCGTATAACTTCGGAACTAGATGAGATTTTTTTTTTTTTTTAAATTAATATTTAATTTCAGGAAGCTTTCTCACAAAGTGATTTTCAGAAAGGTCCTGAAAATAGATATAATGGAGCATTAAACGGCCAATCGGCTTATTTTTTCATGCTCTTTCAGATGAAGCAATAAGATAGATGAAGCAATTTTTGTTGCCAATACCCTTTAACACAATGTTGCTATTGCCTATATCCATGAAAACTTTAAAACATCACTGATCACTTTGTTAATTTCAACAAACTAGATTTTACAAACTTTCTTATGACAAAATAGGAGGAAATTCTGTCTGTTGTAAATGGCAACACTTAATATATGACTTAATTTACACAGTTTTATATAAATAATGAGCTGCGTTCGTTTCATCTATAGCTGTTTTTTCCATTTTTGGACATGGTAAAACGGGCTTGAAGTTAAGACACGGCCTACAACAAGGTAAAGCTAACCAATAAAAAGAAACAATTTAACACAGCCTAGACCTAGGCCTTCTATTTTTATTTTTATTTTTTTAATATTCAGCGCTTTTTCACATGAAAAGACTGGGACTAGGTAATTTGGGGGCGGGGCGGAGGAAGGACACAAGCCTGACGCAAGCGAAAATATAGAAGGCCTAGTGGATTTCCCAACAACAAGGCCAAAACTGCCCTGAAACTGCCCTGATTGCGAAATGCCCAATTATTACGTTCTCAAACAGAATTATTTGCAACTTAACAGCGAATTCAAACCGATACAGGTAAAATAAACTCATTTATAGTATAAACTTACTATTTTGATTTGTATACACGTCTAGAAAATCGGGGTTTTTATCATGTTTGAAGCAACACTATTTATATATGTTGACAAGGTGTAGCGAAACGGCACAAAATATAAATAATTCTTTTATTCGCAAGACAATCTACTGTTTTGCTTTGAATAACTATATTTGCGAATTGGGAATGAGGATTTTGAAATTATTGTTCAAATATTACGGATATACCATTTGTAAACAATGTACGTTTTAATATACAGTACTGTACGGGCTAATATTAAATATATGTATCCGTTTTATTTTGTATATTTTACAAACACAAGACTGCTTCTTGCCGAAATTGAGAAAATATATATTAATGTAGTTGTGTATAAGACAAAATTTCATGAAAGATTCTACTTTTGGTATATATTTTGACTCATTTTGTGCTTTCGCTACACCTTGTCAACATATTAAATAATAGTGTTGCCTCGAGTGTTGCTTCGAACTTTATGATAAAAAACCCGATTTTCTAGACGTGTATACAAATAAAAATAGTAAGTTTATACTATAAATGAGTTTATTTTACCTGTATCGGTTTAAATTCGCCGTTAAGTTGCAAATAATTCTGTTCGAGAACGCAATAAATGGGCATTTCGCAACCAGGGCAGTTTCAGGGCAGTTTTGGCCTTGTTGTTGGGAAATCAACTAGGCCTTCTAGGCTTACTTCCTCCGCCCCGCCCCCAAATCACCTAGTCCCAGTCTTTCCTGTGAAAAAGCGCTGAATATTAAAAAAATATAAATAAGACTAGAAGGCCTAGGTCTAGGCTGAATTTAACAGACACTGCAACTTTTAAATGCCCGACTCAAAGAACATTAAACAGTAACAAAATTAAAGACAAAAACACAACACAAAAAAAGCAAACAAATAAAAAAAGCAAACAAATAAAAAAAGCAAACAAATAAAAAAAGCAAACAAACGGACTTCGGCGCAAAAGGCGAAATTTACAAAGCAAAAAGAAATAAAATAAACCAAACCAGCAAAACGATAAAACAGAATATTACGTCTTCACACCGACATGCAGAGATCGATTTCTGCAGAACAGAACTAAGCAACTTACCCGGCAATAGAATTATGTGAAAAAAGGATATCATGGAATGAAATTCATCATCAGTAAACTTTACCATACACGTTTCTTCTAGCAGTGTCTTAAGTTCATTCACGGTTATACACATCTTGCTTTTTGCTTTTTGTCGATATTTTATTATTTCTTCCTCACAGTGAAGCCACCGAAGAGGAAACTTTTCGTTCACGAAAGGAAAGTTCGTTGATGCTTCAGTTTTAATAACAGTTCTCATATTGGCAATTCCTTCATCTTCTTCGCTTTGTGAGTTCTCGACAGCAAATACAATTTCTTTGTTAAAACCTCTGACCAGCCGTGGACCAAACGTTCGAGCAAAATGCTTTTCACAAAGTGCGTTCACCTCCTTGATGTAATCAGTACTGACCTTGAAAAAAACCCATGTAAGATTAGACACGTAGATCTAAATGAGCAGAACATACTAAAGTTGATTAACACCTCGGAAAACATATGGAAGATTGTCAGAAAAAGACAATATGGCGTCACGGTTTAATATTGCTCTCGCACTATTTCTGATTTTATGGCTTTTTCAAAACGTATTGCTGCTAAATAGTTATCATGGAGTTTCAGATGTTGGATATACAACTTTTAAATCGTTTGATGGCGTGCCGTTCACATTATTTTCGGGATTTCTACATAAATTTGCTTGGCATTGCCAGACTAGAAATTCAATAAGGCGTATCGGGATGCAGTCGAAGTTCAACATCAATTTCCCTGTTTACAAGGCTGGAAAGCATGGTCAAACCACCCTGGCTCTTCCTGACAGGGTGTATAAAATCGATTTGACTGTTTATTTGGACATAGAGAAAAATCCTGGACCAGAAATGGATGTGTTGGCTTATTCATCTAACTTGCCTCCTACGAATGTTAATCCACGCGCTATACATGAAGGATCAATTAACTATTTAATGTCAAATCAGTTACTAGGGTTCCAACCTTTTTACCAGCTACAAAGACCGTGTTTTGGTGATGTAAGGTATTCTCAAGATGATTTCGAAGCTTATGGGGTAGGTAGGCGTGTTTCATCTGTTTACGAAATACAGAGAATTCCATCAGTAAACATTACTAGAAGAAGGCAATGCATATTTCAACATAGAAATAATGTTGGTGCTAATTTAAATAATCTTGTAAACATTACGCCCACGAAGAATTGTCCTAAAACTGAAACCTCAAATTTGCTGCACCTCGCTATGCTGAATGCCCGTTCCTTAAACAACAAGGCCATGTTTGTAAAGGACTACGTTGTAGAACATCGTGTAGATTGTTTGGCAGTAACAGAAACTTGGTTAAACTCGAACAATGTGTATTTGATTAATGAACTCTGTCCTCGCGGGTATGCATTTATGCATATTCCACGAAGTATAGGCTATGGGGGCGGTGTTGGCTTATTGTATAAAAAGAATTACAAGACAGAAAAACAAAATGTTGCCCAATGTTCATCATTCGAGTATATGGAAACTTTAATTAGATCGCCTAGCACAGTTCTGAGGATCGGTATAGTTTATCGACCCCATCCTTCTGCAGAAAATGGACAAACAGTTAACATGTTTTTTGATGAATTTTCTGACTTACTTGAACGATTGGCTGTATCCAGCGGCAAACTCGCATTGCTAGGAGATTTTAACTTTCACGTTGATGATCTCACAAACCCTCAGGCTACAAGATTCCTTGATTTACTAGACTGCTACAATTTAAAGCAGCATATAACTGGTGCAACTCATAAAGCAAATCACACCTTGGATCTTGTGATTACTAGGTCATGTGAGGATATGATTCACAGCTGGTCATCCATGGACCCTCAACTATCTGATCATAAAGTTATCCATACAAAATTACATCTTATTAAACCACGTCTACCAAGGCAAGAGAGACAATACCGCAAACTTCGCAGTGTAGACCCAGTAGTTTTTCGAAATGATGTAATTAAATGCGCACTATTCACCTCGGAAGCGTGTAATGTAGTAGATTTATGTGACCAATATGACAGTGAATTGCTCAAGGTTGTCGATTCCCATGCACCTTTAAAAACATGCATAGTAAGTTCACGACCGTCTGCACCATGGTATACTGAGGACATTTCTAAGGAGAAATGCAAGCGTCGTCAACTTGAAAGACGTTGGCGTAAGTCTGGATTAGATATGGATAAACAGCAGTATTATGATCAGTGCAAACGGGTAAGAGATATCATCAAGTCGTCAAAAATGAATTATTACTCTGCATTTATTCTTGAAAACAAGTCGGATCACAAAGTTTTGTTTAATACAATAGATCGTTTGTTGCACCGCAAATCTGAAAAACATTATCCCACATGTAATTCTATCGCTGAACTGTGCAATTCATTTGCCAACTTCTTTTCTGAAAAAATTGTGGCAATAAGACAAGAGATTGATGATTTACCTAACGCTGATTCTTCTGATTTTGAGCAGTTTGATGAAATGATTATTGATAGTGAGTTGACTGAACTTTTCCCAACAAGCGTCGAAGAACTATCGGCTCTTGTTGGCAAAATATCAACCAAATCGTGTAGTTTGGATCCAGTGCCTGCGTCACTACTCAAGAATTGCATCACCGATTTACTACCCATCATCTGTCGAGTTGTAAATCTCTCATTTGAATCCACTATAATGCCAACTTCCATGAAGCAAGCGTTGCTATCTCCGTTATTAAAGAAACAAACTTTGAATTTTGAAAGCTTCTCAAATTTTAGACCAATCTCTAATTTGAAATTTTTATCGAAGGTTATTGAGAAAGTAGCAGCTTCGCGTTTATGGGATCACCTCTGCACAAATGATCTAAATGAGATATTTCAGTCGGCTTACAAGAAGTATCACAGCTGCGAAACGGCACTTGTTCGAGTTCAGAATGACATCTTGAAAGCCATTGACAACAACAAATGTGTGATTCTTTTATTGTTGGATTTATCTGCTGCATTCGATACTGTTGATCATGACATTTTGTTAAACAGATTGCAGTCAAATTTTGGTATAAAGAGAAAAACTCAAGCATGGTTTCGGTTCTTATCTTACAGATCGTACACATTTTGTCAAAATAGATGGGAGCAGTTCATCAGTTCATCCCGTCAGTTACGGGGTGCCACAAGGGTCGGTGTTGGGACCATTATTATATCTGCTATACACGTCTCCATTGGGAAATCTAATGCGAAAACACGACATATCATTTCATCTATATGCAGATGATAATCAAATATATACCACGTTTGGTTTCAATAATGATGTTGAACTCTCGTTGGCGACGTGTCGGGTTGAAAGATGTCTAGCTGATATCACCAACTGGATGTCTGCTAATATGCTAAAACTCAATACTGACAAAACAGAACTCCTTGTTCTCCACTCGAAGTTTCGACAGATTTCGTTGCAACCAAACACAACTGTTAAATCTGACACCATTAAATCTAGTGAAAAAGCACGAAATATCGAGTAACGTCCGACAGAACATTGACAATGTCACCTCACATAAATGAAGTGGTCAAGGGAGCTTTTTATCACTTAAGGAACATAGCCAAGATCAGAAAGTATATTAGTGCGGACACAACGGAAGTACTAGTTCATTCGTTTGTCAGTTCAAGATTAGACTTCTGCAATTCACTTTTGTATGGTCTACCTAAGTATGAACTCAATAAACTGCAAAATGTACAAAATGCAGCAGCACGGGTTATAGCTTGCTTGCGAAAGTATGACCACATCAGCCCAACTTTAAGAAACCTGCATTGGTTGCCAGTTCAAGAAAGAATAGTTTTTAAGATTAATTTAATGTGTTTCAAAATAGTAAATAACATTGCTCCTAAATATTTACAAGAACTTATATGCCGTTATGAACCAACAAGAATACTTCGCTCATCAGCAGATAAATGGCGTCTTACAGAACAACCATACAAACTTAAAACCTATGGGTATCGGGCATTTTCGGTAACTGCCCCAAAACTTTGGAACACACTGCCAGTGGATATTAGATCTATAACTGACATTAATATTTTTAAATCCAAATTAAAGACTTATCTTTTTAAATTAGCTTATGACATATGACTTACAGTTATAAGCGATTTTATTTTAATATTTTTACTAGTTTTTTAGATATACATATATAGACATATGAGACTTATACATATATAATAGATGTAAACTACTGTATACTTAATTTTACAATGTAAAGCGCATAGAACAGTAATGTATATGCGCTATAGAAATGTTATTATTATTATTATTATTATTATTATTATTGTAAAAATTTTAACCAAGTTAAATTTATAAACCTCTCCATCAGCTCTTTAGGTATTTTTGCAGAAGAATGTTATACATTTTTAGACATGTTAGATAGTATTGGTCTTGACAAAAACCACCAAATGTACTGCGTTAGGAAAATGATGACTATTGCTATTAGAACTACATATTACATTTTTTGTTGCCGAAATAAGGAATGGGAAAATCCGGATTTACTAACAATTTGACTTATCTCATTGTATATATATATATATTGCATGCACTTTGTTCTGTTATTTTAGTTTAGTATAATTGTGATTCAAATAGCCAACCGTAAGTTACCTTTATGAAAGAGATTTACGATTGTATATGTATGTAAAGAAAAACGTTTAATAAAGTTTCCATTATATGTTTAAAAATATGAAAGATATGTTGCATAAGTTATTACGGGTAACGCTTTTCAAATCTTATATGCGTAGCGCGCGAGAGAGTTTACTATTATAATCAGGCAGATAGAGGAACACAAATTGTTGAAAACTTACCATATCGAGGGGAAATTCCATTTTGCGTTCATAAATATTGTGCCCTGAAGGCTAGTAAGTACGTTTCTGTATGTTGGCGGCGTGTTGTGGGCTCGCCCTAACGACATGTTTTTTTTTCGTATTATGCGGTTGCTGCGTAGCGAACGAGCTTGAAGCGAAGCAGCATTATAATTTGTGCAGGGAGAGGGTTTTGAAGTAAATCTTATTTAGCGCATTGCATTGTGGTCGTGCGCGCTTGCAATGCGCAGAACCCAAAATATAAGGGACGTTCGACATATAGTATTTGAGGCGTATTCGAAGGATATCGTTTGTTGGTTTGCTTTCTTTGACTTGTGAATTATTTTGACTCAGGCACTCAGCGTTATAAGGTTTAGTAAAGTTCTAGGCCCTGCCTGTAAAGGTCATAATTTAGTGTATAAAATAACGTGACTCCACTTCGTCTTCGTTCGTTGCTACTCAACAGACTTTGGCCACTGCAAGTTCTATATTATAATAACGTTTTGGATTTTTAGTTTAATACTGTGTACAGCATATAATGTGGTATTAAAATGCGCCTAGCATGCAGTATCGGACTTGATGTCTTAATATATGAAATCCGATAGCAAAAACTTTACGTGTTATATAATTTACTTTGTATACGTCTTAAGAATGCTTTGTCGTTTGTATTTATACGCGTACTAAAGCAGCGCGTAACTCAACAGATTCCATTGGTCTTAGAAATATTATATATTGAATTCTGGCTGTATGTCTTAAGAATGCTTTATCGTTTGTGTTTATACGCGTACGTACTTAAGAAGCGCGCAATTGAACATATTCGACTTGGTCTTGGAAATATTAAATATTCTGCTTATGCTTTAGTGAATATTACTTCATAACACGCACGTACTCAATGAGATGCACATGTTTAATATTATTAATAATATCTGTCATCTGTGATTACCCTTTAACCCCTGGTCTTGGCAACAAATGCATTGCTTTTTCTCAATTGCACTCATGTCATGAATCGATCCGTATCTTTAAGCTCCGGCCACAGTGCTCACCAGTCCTGGCTCGCTGCCTGCTATTAGTAGCCTAATAACTATGCTTTATATAATTATTTTGTACTATTTAGTATAGGTAATCATGCGATGGCGAGTACAATTAGGCATTAATAGTACGAGTGATGTTTGGAAATTTTGCCAAAATTGGACGAGCCGCCGGGGCGAGTCCAATTTGGCAAATTTCCAAACATCACGAGTACTATTAATCCCTAATTGTACGAGCAACATCTACTTGTTTATTATTAGCATGACAAAATTGGATACGTACTTCTCAATGCCAACATCATATTCTCTCGCCAAAGCCCAGTCCTGCAGGGGCGGATCTAGGGATGATCAGAGCGATCACGCGACTAAGGTAAAAATTGGCCAGAAAATTGTTAAATTAAAATAGCAGTCCAGTTATCAAACTTCGCGCAGTGTACTGTATTGAAAGTTTAACAGTCCAGTTCTAAGATATTATCCAGTAGCAAGGCCTTCGAACATGAACGCGCAGAAAAGCGGTCTTACGCATGAGTTTTGCACGCTCTGAGACAGATTCCAGCCATCTGATTGGCTATCTCGATTTTTGCGCGATCTGTGGGGAGTTCTGATCGCTAAAGCGTTCAGGGGCTCGAATACAGGCCATCCGATTGGCTAATTCAAAAAAAATCCTGAATTCCTGTTGGCTGGATTTTTTTTATCGATCATACCGTTCAGGCTAATAGTATGCACGGAAAGTTCTATGACGTTGCTGGATTTTTCTGATGATCTGATCTAGCAGCAGTATTTATGTAAATTGACTGAAATATTATGTAAATTTCGTCTCTTATTATTATACGCGTACCCGCCGATTTTATAGCATGTGCGTTTTATGGCAATCGGAAAATTTATCAGAAGTTCTAAACTAATACTAGCCATGTCTGTTGGTATTTACGAAACCGCAAAGGCTGCTTTAGAGAAAGATAATCGACAATATCTTAACAATAAAGATGTAACCGAAGCGTTCCATTAAATACTTATTGAGCGCTATGAACAACACAAGCTTCTTCCTCGCACCGCGAAATTTTGGTGTGGAATCTTACATCCCGAAGGACGTTCGAGAGAAAACAAAAACGTTTTGTACGGCCTTATAAGGTAAATATATTCTATTTTAACTATAGATATAGTATTATAGCTGTTGTAGGCTGTAGTGTATTGCGCGTCTGTACGTAATAAGAGACGAAATTTACATAATATTTCAGTCAATTTACATAATACTGCGGCTTAATACAAGCAGTTTCAGTTTGTTTATACTTTGTTTATGCCTCTTGTGGAATGTGGGCTTTATATATCGATCAGATACTTAATAATACTGTATTATTTATGCCTAGTTGTCTAGTATATTAAAACTACAAGCACATGACAATGTGGCATGGCTTTGTGTAATACGATATCTACAACATGTATGCAATAAGTAAAATGGATCATGTTGCCATTGTGAATACTTATTCATGGCACATGTTTCTGCTATGAATAAAACTCGAGAAGCAGTAAATTAAACGTGGAAATTCTCTTCCTGCGGATTAACAATCGATCGTTTCATAAAACTGCATCGCTATATTTGAAAATCTTTTGACCATTCATGTAAAAAGGACAAATGCGTAACATTTTTTGGTAAAACAGGATACAAATTAATTCGCTTTGCAACCCCCCCCCCCGTTAAAAGAACCCTCCCCCCCGATGTTCAGCAACGAAATTTTTGACTAACGTACGAAAAATCCTAGATCCGCCCCTGCAGTCCTGCCAGACTCTCAACCAAAATTTGGTGCTTTTGTTCGTATTTTCATTTAGTTATTTTGCCGTAAAGCAAACTTTGCTGCTTTTGTTCGTATTTTCATCTAGTTCCACAAGGGAAATTTCAGTTCACGTTCGAGTTTAAATACCTTTCCGCCATTTTGTTTGTTTGGGAAAATCATTAATTGTACTGCAGTACAATTAATGAAATAATTGTACTCCTCTCAACCAATCAGCATCCAGTAATGTTGTCATTATTATTATTATTATTATTTAATCATATTTGGAAACGGTAGCTCTTCAGGGCACTTACGCACCTGTTTTTCAAGAGGCCGTTTGGTTAAAAATATTACATAATATAAATATACAGTACAATACAGATAAGTAGAACTACAGGCATGCATATATAACAATATAAGACGATTAACCCTACCGCCTCCCCCCCTCCCCCTTACAAACGAATGCACTACTTAAATTTAGGTTAAGTGCATACACTTTAACGCGAGGAATAATGATCAAGAATGGACTTGAATTTCTGACTAGTAATTCCTGAACCTTTAGCCTCAAGAGGCAAATTATTCCAGGCCGAAGAGGCTGTATAGCTTATGCTTTTCTTCAAAAAATTTGTACTTGGTTTGTCAAGGGTGAAATCTCGATTGTTGCTACGGAGGTTATACCGCGAGTTTGTTTTAATATCAAACATATTCATCATACTAATTGGCAGTTCATTATTCCTTACCTTATGCATAAAAAATAGTTTTTTGTGCTTAAGGCGTTCTTTCAAGGGTTGCCAATGTAGTAAAAAATAATAAAGTCGAAATTGGTCTATGTTTTTTACTAGACTTCTAATATTCAAATGGGCAATTGTGAATCCTTTTAGTTTTAGTGGTTTTAAATTAGTAGCATTCAAATTTGATACACAATTGTTAGAATCTATATTTCCATCTATAGTCACCATGTGTTAAACATGTATTAACATCAATAAATGTTTTTTCATGCTAATAATAAGTTCTATTATTTGCTCTTAATACCCGCAGCAATCCCTACGTTGCAGGTACCCTAGTATTAAACTCTATTTTCGAAAAAAAATGACTTACATAATTTGAAAGCTTGTAAAAAACTACAAATATGACATTTAAACGGTTACCAGTGTTTTTCAAGTGTTTTTTTTTATTTATGAACTGTTCAAAGCGTGTTTTCTGACTAGCACCCAAGATTTTTGTGCGATTTTGGCTTGTTTTTCACATTTGGAACAGCAATAACTCATGGAATCCACATGCAAATCCCAGCTAACCATTTAAATGTCTTATATTTGTAGTTTTTGCAAGCTTTCTATTGCTGCAAGTAATTTGTATTAGATATGTATCTGAAATTTCACATTTTTTAAGTGTAAAAGAGTATTAATAATACAAAATACGTTAATACAAAATTCGAAGAAAAACATGCATGTCGGCAAGAGTCGACAAGATATTTTAACGCAGCTGACATACAGAAATGTACTTACTACTGTATAGCCTTCAGGGCACAAGAATGAAGATGAAGGAAAAATGGAATTGCCCCTCGATATGGTGAGTTTTTTTTCCTTCTATCTGCCTGACTGTTATTGATAACAACAACGCGTAGCTATTTTATAACAGGGAAAGCGGAATCAAGGAATAGGAACAGGGATTGGAGAGGAAATGAGCGAGGAATCAACGGGGAATCGAATGCGTTGGTTAACACGGTTAATCACAACAGGCAAGCATTCTGCTGTAGCCTGGAACCTAGCAGGAACAATGAGAAGCAAAGGGAAGGCACTGTCAAGATTTCTTATATCAAGACGGTATATATGAGTGTCAAATTAAAACTGCCAGAATTAATTCTTACCAAAAATTCATTCATTGGAAACAAATTGTATGGAAATAAATTGGCAAAGGCAATATAATTATGACGCATATGCATGGAGTAGCACAGTTTTCATTATTTCGTAAACCAATAAAATTACAAGAAGAGTATTGGTGACCCAATATAAGAAAATACAGTACTTTGAAAAAGATGAAAAGGTTACTTACTTGTGCTTTATGTGTCCCGACAAGAATGATGGGAGTTCCTGCTGTTGTGTGACTGGCAATAGAATTCAACCAATACTGTATACCACACAAACTCTTCTGAGGCGATTTAAACATCTTCTGTAAATTAAACACCACAAAATACAAACTTCTGCTGTTCATAAATAAATGGTGCATCGGCTCGTACAGCTGATGGCCAGCAAAATCCCAAAAATTAACCTTAACGCTTGCGGTTTCATCTCTTTCGCTTAGTAAGTGCTTGGCGATTAGCGACGCGGGTAATTTCCTTGGACTCCCTTCAACAGGAATAGAGGTCTCTGTTATTAACACTTGAGAATCAGGCATCTGTCGGGGTGGTGTGGAGAAGCCTTTACTGATAGATGCCATAGGTGTCATGATCTGGTTAGCATTAAATTCTCCAGGAGATGGTGGCAATTCAGGTATCTGCCTGCTTGGTATTTCAGCCATTTCTTTTAATGTATCTGACACAACTCGAGCAATCAATTTATCAAGATGCGATTCTTTAGTATCAGCGAATGTCCATAAAACATTTAATTCCGTATTTTGCACTATGGATTCAACAATGGAAGTAGTCTGCATGCCATGGGAGTAGTATAGGAACTGAGGTTTCTAGACCATTGCCAATTTTTCTAGACCACTAGTTTTTTATCTTCAGTAAAAATTAATTATTTCTATTATATTAAAATTAATGATTGGTCCATTTAATTGGAATGTGAAACTGCTATTCTTGTTTTTCATTTAACTTATCTCAGCTGAGACTCTAATACGATTATCCTACACTTTCCCAATATCATCCAACCTTCCTATTCCAGAGCCTCTTCGGCATCTTTTATTTCCTCCTTGGGGGTACACAAGGCAGGGGGCCCTTGCTGCTTGGATCTACCGTTAGCGTCGTCCTTTTTACCCTGTGTGGTCACTTCAACCTTAATATCATTGGATACAGAGAAATTTATATCCCCAACCTTTCCATTTTTATTAGACCTCCTACGACAGCCACATATTTTACCAAGACACGAGAAACATGATATCCATTTTGACATAATCCTTTATAGTACAACACATGTTAACTACCTGACCCTGAATATCGTAGTGACCAGCAGAAAGACATATCCATACTTGAACCAGTTGGCATTGAGTGTTCCGGTTTAACTATAATTATTGTTCTTGAAAGGGATTATCCGAAACGCACCACGTATAAAATTGAATCCATATTAAATTCATATATCAATATATTTTTGTACAAAACATCGCTTTAAAGGTGGTTTCTATAGAAACAATACAAATACATTATAAACTACGCTACAAGAAACAACTTACTTTACAAATACATAGAAAACAGGACCAAAAACATGCAAATGTACCTGACTTTTGCCCTTCGTAATCCGAACAAACAATCAAATAATATAAAACCAACATGTGTTTTTATCACGTGATGTCCTGCCTGCTCGCAGGCGATTAGGCCCTACTTTTCGGGTTAGATCCTACAAACCGGCCCCTATGGAGTATAAACATAGTCGATATACCAAAACACAAGGATCTACGCCCAGTAACTGGAACAAAGTACGAGTTCGATTGGCTTCGTTTAACAACAACAAATATATAAACGTTTGTATATACCAGACCTTGCGACTATTCATCGACTTCTTTCGCTTCTTCGACTAGGCACAGTTCACGGACATGTCTCTTAAATTTCCCGCCATTTGATCTAATCATAATCTGACGCACCATTCCGTCCTTATCTGCAAAAACTTCCTCGACCACTGCCATAGGCCACTGTCCTCGTGAACATCTCTTATCCACCATTAACACCAAATCTTTGACCTTTAAGTTCCTTCTGGGTTTC